TTTAAAAAATGCTGATTTTTTAAAACCCTTTTCACTCTGATAATTGTCCTTGTTTTTAATGCTTGACCTTGTTTAGTGTCCAGTTAAACATTTAGTTGCACATTTTTCATTTAATGATTTGCTTGTTTTAATGCGGCAACGTAGGCATAGAAAATTTTTTTTTTACTAAAACACCTAATCATGTGAATACTGAAAAGTTATTGTGACTACATTTATCTTGGTTTTGACATCTAGCCATTGGTATTAAAAATATGCTCCATGATGATGACATGTGTATTATATTTTATATAAACTAGATGTCTTACTTCAATCAAAAAAGTGAAGCCGTTTTAGCCCTTTTTATAAATGACGGATTAAATTTGTAAACAAATATTATTTAACTTTTTTTAATTATATGAAGTAATTATATTTTAAATCTATATACTATTTATGTAAAAGTGTCAAGAGGAAATTAGAGTAAAATAAAAAAAAAATAATAAAAAGTGTCAAGAGGAAATTAGAGTAAAATAATAATTTATGATTTCTAAAGTTATTTTTGATTAAAAAGGAATTTAAGTTTTAAATAAAAAAGAAAAAACAGCAGTTGTTTTGAAGCATTTTTATGAATTATAATACTTTTTTATAAACATAGGCTCATAAACCTTTATAAGTTTTTTATAATTATTATAAAATGTTTTTGAATTATCTTTAATTTATTGGGAACTTTTGACTCGCATTTTCAATTTTTATTCCACACATCGGCTTCTGCTTTTACTCTTTTTACAAATGGGAAATTATATTTATAAGCAAAAAAAGCGTCTTTGTTTTTAAAAATTTACATGTGATACTTCAGCGCTAGTAAAACATTAAATATATAAAAAGAAAGTTGTTTTCAATCAGGCCGATTTTTTTTTACTTTTAGATACTTTATAATTCATCTTAGCAAACACACAGTGTGCTAAGATGAGTAAGATGAGATTAAACGTCTTTTGATTGATTTACTTTGCATTTCTAGATTCGTTTTGGACTATATGCGTTTAGTTTGTTTTGGGGTTGTCCAATGATTATTGGTATTTTTAAAAAAAGGGGCTAGAGATATGTCATTTGTCATATGATCAAATTAGTCATATTTCTAAAAAGTCAAATGACTTATTCGGTAAAAAGCCATCTGATTTTGTCATAAAGTCTAGATCACTGGTAGAGTTTATAAAAATAAAAGTCTATACAGTTAATTTCTTTTGTATACTGGTCCATATGTACTGAGAATACAAACTAAATTAACAGCATAAATGCAATGGTTATGCTTTGTCAAAATAACCCCTGTAAAAAAAAAAACTCTGCAGAAATCTGAACTTAAACTCAAAGATATATCTTTTAAGGTAAAAACTAGAAATATTATTTTTCCATTATGTCATGATTGTGTGTTTTACATAAATTTTGTTTATTTATTAAATCAAAAACATTTAGAGGGCAGTTTCATTACATTTTTTCACAGTTTTGCAGTTTATTAAGGGATTGTTTTTTCTATTTCAGATAATGTTGCGATACAATTTGCTGTCAATAATCTTTAGAAAGCAGAAAAACTCAGGTGAGCATCAAATAGAAAGTTAATTCAATTTCTGGTATTTTTTCTATTTCTAATTGTTTATTCCGAATGTTTTTATATTTAATTCTTAAAAATTCTTTTAATTGGATTTGTTTGTAACTTTATGTTTCTTTATATATTTTCCTCTTTTAGTGTCAAACAAAGAATACACGAATTATTTTAGATATGGTTGAAATTTGCAAAGATTGTAAAAATCAAACTAATCTCATTTTAAGTTATTGTATATTATTTTAAAATTTTGAAATAGAAGTATTGCAATGTTTATTTATTTTTAGTCTTAATTTTCGTATTTAATTATTTGCCCGGACTAATGTAATAATCGTGTATAACCTTAATAAATAAAAAGAAAAAATAACTTCACAGCGCCAAGTTATACAGTGTAAAATTGTGCTTTATTGTTTGTTGCTTTGTAGAAATAACATCAAAAATGTTAGAAAAACGTTGGAAGACGTTTTTTTACAACGTTTGGCCAACGTCGTCTATATAACGTTGACTTATGTTTCATTTATGCCATTATTCCAACGACTAAACAACGATAGAAAAGACATTGGCTCAATGTCATTTTAGCCAAAATATAACGTTTGCGTAACGTCTTTTTTCTTAAAATATAATGTTGCTTTAACGCTTTTCCGGCGTCATTTAGCAAAAATGTAACGTTGTTACAACGTCGTTTTTACATCGTTGCAATAACGTTAGCAAAATGACGTTTTTACGCTGTTTCATTTATAACATCATGCCAACGTCGTCCAACGATACGGAAGACGTTGTTCTAACGTAATTTTTATTATTGGGTATTTTCCAGGGTTGAGTCTCTGTTCAACAAATGCTATCATAATTGCTGCATAACGAACTAGCATAAGCTAGTATAACTCTATCTCGAGATAATTGTTTTTTTAATAATAAATTAACTGAATGACGTCATTTAGTTAAATTATTATTTAAGAAACGATTATTTATCTCCCCCCCCCCTAAACTTTGATACTTAGGAACTCTCTGCTATCTTCATGTTTGCCAGCTCCAACTTATAAATGTGATAAATCAATTTGTCAGCCAAGGCCATATTAAATCAATTTGTCAACCAAAAGGCCGTATGTCCATTTTTTGTGCTTCCTAGAAAAAAATTTAATTTATTAGGACTTTTTGCCAGAATTTGCGATTAGTGTTTAAAAATTTTATCATTCTTGAGACTAGACTTATTTAACACATACCCCATTGATTGTTGAATATTTATTGATAATAAAGAGAATAAACACAAAATGCGGACATGCGGCCTCTTCGTTTGCCAACCGTTTTCTTACTCCTTAACTTTCTTTGATTTCGGTTAACTCCTAACTTAAAGATTTGTTGGAAATGAATTCGTTTATTCCAAAAAGTGGCACTTTATTCACTTTTTTCTAACACAGACATAAGTTGTTTTGAAAACCTTGGCAGATAAATTTTAAAAAATCGACAGTGTGCAAGTTTTTATTAAATATTGTACGTATGATAATTTACATATTAACATATTATCAAACACAAAAATTACATTATAAAGATTAAAAAAAAAATAAAATATTTAAATATTTATATTAATTTATATAACTACTTAAATATATATTTAATATTTATAATTACAGTTAAAAAGTCAACTGATAAATATTATTAAAAACTAAACAAAGTTTAATTATTTGACTTCAGTTTTTCGTTAGATTTGGTATCAACAAATAATTGAGTAAATTCTTCATCATTTAAAGACATCGGGTTCAAATAAACTGCACCACCATTTATGGTCAACTCAGTATCATTTAAAAGAACCGAATCTTTAATAGGGGAAAATTCAATGTCGGAATAGGTTATTTGAGCATTTGATTTATCAGACAGCGCAGTTATTTTGGTTGGGGAATTAAAATATAATAGTTTACGCTTGCGTGTCGGACTAACAGAACCAAAAGTTTCTATAATTTTATTGGAAAATATTGTTGTATCCAGAGAATCTTGTTTCATTTGGGAAAGTGAGTTTTTTGCCTCACTTAGCTGTTCACTTATTAGTCCTTTTTTTTCTTCATTTTTATAAAAACGTTCATCTAATTCCTGATATTCTTTATGATCATTTCTGAGTTGATCTATCTCGTCAATAACAAACTTTTGATTGCTGGCCAAGGCGATACTACCATGCAACGCTCGAGTGCATTTTTCGAGATGGTTTGATAATCTTTTAACGCGAGACTAAAAAAAATCAGTTTGATGTTTTATATTACTAATATTTTAGATAGAATAAAATAATATGCTTTTAGATTATCACTATAATTTATCAAAAATAACTTTATACAAGATTTTCTAGAAGTTTCAACTTTCTTTTATAAATTATATAATATATTATGTGATTTTGTGTATTTTGTTTCTTTGATAATGAGGAAAGACTATCTGACTATAAAGTATATTTTGCGGTGACAATAAGTCACTTTTTATCTTTTCTTCTGTTAAATTGCTAAATGTAAACATTAAGGAGAATAACTAATCTATCAGAGGCTAAACGTTTTTAGAAGGTTTTTTTAATACTGGTATCAAAACTGAGTTCAATTTTATAATTAGATTCTTTTGATTGCATTTCCTTTGTTTTATTTTGTTCTATTTCTTTTGTTCAATTTTTCTTCCTGTTACTTCTGCTACTCCCTGCAAGCATAAAAAAGTTTAAATTTTAACTGAAATGATTAATAATAAAAATATCTTCTAAAATTTTTAGTTGTAAAGTCTTACCTTTCTACCTAATAACTTCTACCCTAAAAAAAATTTTTCTTACCTCAACCAAGTCTTCCAAAAACATTAAGTCCTCAACTATCAAGTCAAAACATCAAGTCCTCAACTATCAAGTCAAAACATCAAGTTCTCAAGCTTATCTTGGTTGGATTTTTTTTTAAACGTTTTAATTTTATATGTTTTTTATGTTTTGCAAATCTGGTATACCTCGGCATATCTGGTATACCTCAGTATATCTGGTGTACTTCGGTATATCTGGTATACTTCGGTATATCTGGTATACCGACCGAATAGATTTTTTAAAGAAAATTTCAAGTTTTTTCTGGTTCACTATATATTAACAGAGCTTCTTTTTTATTTTTCTTCAAACTAGAACACTTTTGTCTAAATTTTTAAGAACGTTTTTTCGTTTAGTGTTACTAACAACATCAAACCCCGTCTTTATCCAGGGTTTCTTAACTTTGAATTTAATATTAGTAAATCTAATTTAAGCAACACATCACTGCCTAATATATAATATATGTTAAGGTATTTTATATAATATATTTCTATACTGTAAATAGTATAACACTTTATATCTTAAACATATAGTATATTTATATTGTCTCTTTTAAAATTTGTAGAATAACTCTATCAGAATCTATAAGAAAAATTCATCTATAAGAATATCTATTATTGTTACCACTACAATTACTGTAGCGGTAAGTATGCAATCGTTAAATTCGGAACAATCAAAAATTCATTAAAAAAAAACTAAACTAATGCAACAACTTCAATATTTATTTTAATTTAAGGAACTTAAACATAAAAATGCTTTTTATTTTAACACTTTTCATTACTTCGAATAAATTTATGCTAATCATGCGAACATTTATGCTAATCAACGACATCAACTTCTGCAAATATTGGCAATTTTTTCCCCTACCAATGCCCACTCTCTAATCAAATATTTAGCTGAACTTATTGTTTTACCACTCTTACGCAAATATACTTTGCCAATTCCCCAAAATTTCTCAATGGTAAAGAACTATGAGCGGTTTGGTGGATTCAAGCTTTTTCGTATAAATTAGATGTCTCTCACGTTGTACCACTCTACGATCTTCTTAGAATAATGATAAGAAGCAAGATCAGGCCAGACGATGAAACGGCATAAGTCTAGCTTGCAAGCATTCCTTGATGTAAACATCCGAGTTTAAAGTTGACAATGTGACGAAAGCTCAAGATCTCAAACCGAAGCTTATTGCTTGCCACAGGAGAAGTTTCAAATTTATCCCATGATTTATAATTGAACTTGTTGCTGACACGTCTACGAACAATTAAAGTGTAAAATTTTGGACCTGAGAACTGTTTGAAGTCACATTTGATGTACATTTCTCATCCATAACTATGCAGCTATTAAATTTTTTAAGCATTTCGTCATAAAGTTTTTGAGCACAAGTTTTAGCAATCAGTGATTGCTTATCTGATTGGCTCAAAAAGACCTGAAATTGTAAAATTTTATAGCTTTTCTGACGAAAAACTCTTAAACCTCATACCTTTAGGCTCGTTCTCTGTTTGATAAGCAAAGATTTTGCGTGAATGATCTAATTACTACTTTCTTATCCTTAAAGCCACTTTTTCTTCCAGATCCTTTTGCTTATTCAATAGATAGAGAGCTCATGTATTATTTTATGACCATGTAAAAAGTAGTTTTGCTTCAGATGTTTTAGCGATTGAAAGCAACGATGCAGAATGATTTTGTAGATAGTTGTGCAGAATTTTTTTTCGTTTTTTTAACTGTTTCGATGACATTTTAATTACTCTCAAGTTCCTTTTAAAAGGAGGGAGGGACGCTTATTGATTTTTGGAAAATTTTCTAACCTACCCCTCTCCCTTTAATAATTTCTACTTTATATCAAAAAAAATCGGCCTTTACAAAATAGAAAAAAAAAATCTTACAAAATAGAAAAAATATATATCTTATAAAACAGGAAATAGGCTTTAAAAATCACCGACCATGTAAATCTCAAATGATCGAAAATGAGCTTTTAATTTATTTCTCACCAAAGTATAAACTTCTATCAACACATTAAATCCTATTGAAATTATTATGAAACAGCTGTTAGAAAAAGCGCATTTGACCGCAAACCACGCTAGATTTAAATATTTTTATGCCTGTTTTGTAAAAAATATTAGTTTGGATTTATAAACTGAAATGTTTTATAAAAAATAATTATATTGTAACAGAAACCCCCACCCCCCATCCCCCGTTTATTAGATATGGATTAAATTTTTTATAAAAAATACTTAATTGTAACAGAAAAAAATTCCCCCTCCTTTTGTTAAAATCCCCCAAGTTTATTAGATTTGGATTAAATCCCTCCCCCCCCCTTGTATTAATGACTCGAGATTAAGAGAAATATTTTGATTCGTTTGTTGATGTTTTTAATTAATACTATCATTACTTAATGTAATCAAGAAGAAAAAAAAAAAATTAGTTTGAAAATCTGCTAAAAAGTCATTTTTTTTGTATTTAAAAAAACTAAATATACTGAAAGAAAGTTTAAGTTTATTAAAAAAAATATTCATATACCAAATTTTCAAGGTCTTTAATCTAATATTTATACATAAATATCATTAGAATACTCAAAGTTAGTCAAAAAAATATTTTGTAATAAAAATATTGATTTTTGATTATGCTTTTTTATTTTTATTTTATTATAGATACCTATATCTATATTATAATATAGATACTCATATATTATTTTTGATACCTAATATATTAAATCTATGGGCTCCTCCGTTCTCAAAGGAGCGTAGAGAGTAGAAAAAGAGAAGAGGAGAAAGTAGAGAAATTTTAGAGTAGAGAAGTTTTAGAGTAGAGAAATTTTAAAAAAGATTTTCAAAAGATCATATGCAGTTGCTGCCTTGAAAAGAACAACAAAAAAGAAAAAAAAAGAACAACAAATGCATTCCAGATAATAAAAATTTAGAAGGTCTGGTTCAAGTTTTCTGTGAGCCAGAGTTTTCATTGAAAGTGTTTGCCTACATTACATGATTATGCCCAGGTTGTAAGAAAAACTCATAACTCTATGGAAAAATGATGATTTGTCTAGCTTGCAAACCTCTACAGATTGCTCAATATTATGCAGTATATGCAGTCAAGGAAGAAAAAGATTATTAAATAAAAGTATGAAAAGGGGAACTAGCTCAACACTGAAACTTTGCCAAATATGCTTTTGTGAAATTGCTAAAGATAAACCCCACAATTTTTCACCTTTTGTTCACCTCGAGCACAAATCTTTTTAAAAGTATTTCTAAAATTTCAAAAAAAGTAAAAGAACAGGTAAAAGAAAAAGTAAAAGAAAAAGAACAGGCTTCTTCCCTTCATAAAGAAATTTATTCTGATCAAGAGTAAAGTCTAGGAGATCAAACAGGTAAAATATTGTTAAAAAAAATGGCTATGATATATATTCTATTATTCTTAAAATAGCTATGATATATATTCTATTATTCTTAAAATAGCTATGATATATATTCTATTATTCTTAAAATAAACAGTTGTCTTTTATTACAAAAGTAAAAGTATTCATATTACACTTGGTACTCAGAGAAAGATTCCTTATAATGAGGTAGAAGCTTTAGAAAATATCTTAGGACTTAGTCAGTTTAAGTCTAATGAAGTTTTAAAAACTTTGAGGAGAAGTGTGAAGTTTGAGTCAATCATGGAGAAAACCCTAGATGAAATAAGTAAACTACTTTCGAACTATTGTTGCTAAATTATAAGACTTTTAAGAAAAGGAAAAAAAAAACGACTATGCTACAGTGAAGAGAGACTTAGTATATATTGAAGATATTACAACATTTCTGAATTTTGTAATGAAATATTGAGGGCAGGTTCCACAAAACACATTTGTAAAGATTGGGATGGATTCAGGTATTTGTATTTATATTTTAATAACCAACTTTTTGAAAACATGTTTTTGAAAATATTATTTTTACATATTTATATACAAATATGTATGTGTGTATGTATATAGATATATATTTATAGGTGGAGGATCATTGAAAGTAATAGTAAATCTATTTGATCCAACCTAAGACAGGGCAAAAGATAGCAGCTGCATAAGATTATACTCAGGGGAAAATACGCCACTTGTTTTAGCTTATTATGAAAGGGTAAGTGAGAATCATTCTAACATGACAAGGGTTGAATGATTGAAGTTGCATGAATGCAAGTACTCATTGGCTTCTGACATTATGTTAATCAACATATTGCTAGGAATTTCGGTATGTTGTTTTTAAATAATTTCAAGATAATAAGACATGACGTAAACACATATATTAGGAAAAGGTTTTTTTTTACCCAACAATATATTTATAAATTTAACTATTATGTAAAATTGTAAGCTCATGGAGAAAAGTATGCCTGTGAATAGTGTTAAGGTTCTTCTAAACTATTTTCTGGAGAGTTGAGAATATTTCAATTTTTGAATGATTACTATGAACTGTATTCATCTGCAGGATCTCCGGTGAAAAAAATGAAGAAATATAAGGTATAAATAAATAAGTATATTGTAGATATTTTCAAAATATATCATCATCACAAATTTATCATTTTTAAAAGGATAAAAATTATCATTTCCATATATTTAAAATGTCATTAATCCTTGTCTACTCAAGATAGACAAGATAGTCAAGATAGACAAATCTCTAAGTATAATAAGAGAAGTTCCATTAACAGAACTTCAACTTCTGATGGGATTAGTTAACCATGTGGCAGAATTTATAATGCAGCTTTGGTCTGGATTTATAGATTGGGTCAAGAGCATTTGATGCCTTCAAAAAGGTTACCATGGAGGAACATTTGAAGGAAACACGTACAGTCTAATGATGTTGATGTAAAAACACAAAATTAAAAAAGCATAAAAGTTGGAATATAAAGTTATTTTATGCTAACTTTATTATTCTGTCAGTATATTTAGTTTTTTTAAATATGAAAAAAAAACAACTTTTTAGCAGATTTTTAATGTCAATTTTCTAAAAATGTGATACGTCCCAGATTTTTCTAAATATGAAAATGAAGTGTCCAGATGCCCCACTTACTATAGTTATTAACATTTTAACTTAAATTTCTGAGCTGTGCCATGCTATAACAACAATATTCTTTATTTAAAATAGATATTAAACATACATAAAATGAGTACTTTTAATCTGATTTTGAATGCATAAACATGTAAACATTACGATTAATTTAAATTAAAATGTTTGAATTTAATTTTTGAAAAGGTTTTAAAAGCAATGCCACACAGAATAATAATCAAATTTCAGCTGATTTAAAATGTAAACTAAACCAATTTTAGGGGAAAAAAAAATTTTAAGGTCTTTTTTTTCTTCCAAATATTTCCTTTAAGGGCAAGTGATTTAATGGTTGTCAAATTTTTTTGAGTTTATGTATATATATATATATATATATATATATATATATACATATATATATATATATATATATATATATATATATATATATATATATATATATATATATATATATATATATATATATATATATATATATATATATATATATATATATATATATATATATATATGTATATATATATATATATATATATATATATATTTACATTAGATATGTCAAATTTAGTGTACAGAGTGTGAGATGCGTTTGGTGTTAATTGTGCTGGGTGTGAGATGTGTTCAGTATTTATCTTTTTTGCTATGTAAAATACCATCCCTGGATTTCCCCTATTATAAAATCACCTGCAGAATTTGTGCCTTTTTTTTGTATTCTTCTGAGATTAATTTCTCATCAGCTTGAACTTTCTCCATCTCTAAAAACTTTTTTTTGTAACTATTAGCTTCAGAATTAAACTGAGAACGCAAACTTTCAATTTCTTCCATCAATGACCTTATTTTTATGCGAGCTCTTTTAATGAGCATCTTCTGCTGCTGATAACGTTGTTTCAACACATTTGAGATTGAATAACAAGCATGAAGATGCTCTTGGAAACGTTCAACTTCATTCTTACACTCATTAGGCATTCCTTCAGGTATTTCTTTTGCAGGTAGATTTTCATCTACTTCTTTTGTTAAAAGATTATGTATGTTTTCTACATCTCTGCCAAGCACACGAAGAATTGACTAAAAAAACATGTCTATAAATAAATTGACCAAACAAAAATGTAAGCTTTTAAAAACAATTAGTTATAATAGTGAAATATTTATAGATATGAGTAAAATAAATAGATTGAAACCTTTAATAACAGCTTGAAATGTTCTTCACTTTTTTCACTCATTTGATCTTTTGATTGAATAGCTAATGCTTTATTTAATTTTTCAACAAGATCTTTTTTCATTAATTGATATCTTTTGCGTATTCGCAGATTTTCTTCTGCTAACCTATGCAACAAACATGTACAAACAACAAGTTAAAAAATATAGAAAAAGATACAGATTAAAGTTAGTTTCTCCACATAAACCTATATCATTGGAGAAAAATTAAATATCATTATATTAAGATATCCGATGCAAAATATTATTGGAATTTCAAGAATAAAGTTTTTAAAATTATTAAACTTATTAAGCTTAAAATATTATAACTACTGTTTTTTAAACTTTTCATATATTCTAATATACATTATAATTTATTATCATTATACTTGTATTTACTATAACTTACTTATTAAAGCATCTGTTTTTTTGTTGCCAAAATAAATAAGTGCTTAGCAGCTTTTATTATTTCTGGGTAATAATTATAACTTTGTGCCAATTCAAGTATGCCAAAATGTGAGATTTTCTTAATAACGTTTCTTTATATATTCAATAATGAATAACTAAAATTGAAGAGATTTTTTTTTTTAATATTTATTGGATCCATGCATCAATGAGTTTTTTTTTTCTAAAAGTTTATCAAGCTCAAAAGGGTCTGGGTCTCAAAAGGGTCTGGGTCTCAAAAGAACCGAAATTTTATAGAGATTTAAAGTTTTTTCTGCATTTTTTTAATTATTTTTTTAATTATTTTGATATTTTGAAATTTTATCATTTATTTCTTCATTTTGTTTTTTTGTATGTATTTTTAAAGCATTTTTTTAAAGCTCAATTTTTTAAAAAACTTTTTACTTAAAAAGGAGTTATGTAATATCTTTCAGCTTTACCAATTTTTTATATTTAAATTTTGTAAAACTTTAAATATTAGGTAGCAATATATACACTTAATATCCAGCAAATGTTGTATATTAATATAATATTACTCAAGTAAGTAATATTATAAACGGATGATGCATGTTAATTGGGAATAATTATGCAACAAGTGTTGTATATTAAGTAACAATAAATATGCAACATTAGGGTGGTCCACTTAAAACTTTAAAAAAGTTTTTTTAATGGAGGTTTTTACCATTGAATAAATTTTTATCATTGATAATATTTTCAGATTTTAATATAAAAAATTTAAGAATTTTTTGAACCTCCACAAAAAAACAACAACATGAAACCAGTACTCTAAGTTATTTTATATTTCTTGTTAAGGTTATGAAGAGAGTTATGAAATTATTCCTTAAACCTTCCAAAAAGCTGAAACCTTGGTGATTTGTTTGGACTGCAAATAGCATTTAATGTTGATTTTATGAAGACCTATAAAATAGTTATCTACATTAAAATCACAGTAGAGAATATACTTCTTAATTAGAATTGAAACTCCATTATATGCTCTAAAAATTGTTAAAAGAAACATGTACGCTTCTTTTAACAATTTTTTTTTTTGATATATATATATTTTTTATTGATAGTTTGTTTCTTTTTTCACGTAAAAGTTTTTGTCTCCTTCATTATTTTAAGTGACATCTGAAGAAAATTCAGTACTTCAGTGACATCATTTTCACCAACAATGGTTGAGTAAAACAATTTAAAATTTTTAAGTTGCTATTTATTAAAGTGAAATAATTTTTGTTTTTTGTTTTGTCTTACATGATGCTGCAGTCAGTCTAATGGCATTATTTTTTTTTAGCCTGGATTTTTGTTAACTTTTTGTTTGGCTTTTAGGATTTCCCAGTCACTCTAAATAGTCAAGTAATAGTTACCATCATGTTTTAGTTTCATGCGTAACAAAAGACCTCTGCTATAACAAAAATATAGTTGACATCATCTATATTGATTTTGAAAAAGCATTTGACTTTGTAACTCATTCTAAACTATTGTTCAAGTTGCAAGATTATGGTATTAAATAAGATCTTTTTAAATTTTTGAATATAAAATATGAATTTTTGAACTATTAAATATAATTTTGTAACTTATTGCTCTAAGTAAAAACTTTAATATATCATATTCCAATAAAATTGCAGTAAAGATTGGAAAGAGGAAACTGTACTATAATACCTATTCTGTTCTTTTATTAATGACAATTTCTTGCATTGATAAAGATTGTGGAATTAAACTGTTTGCAGATGATACTAAGTTGTACCAATCAAGACATAATGATTATAATTTTGCATAGTTGTATCATATATTCAAACTTGATCCTTTTTTGACTTTAAAATTGTGCATTAATTTGTTGATTTTCTCATTTCAGATTTTTTTTTTAACTTTTTTTAACTCGAAAAATATAACAAGAAGCCATTCACAAATATTTACATAATAAATACCCTAATGATACAAGAAGACATTTTTTTACAGCAAAAGATTTATCACAGTACTTTCTGATCACATAATAAATTCATCTTCACTATCTGCATTCAAATCAAATTAAAAAATGATCAACATTTATTGTACAAATTATGTTAATTTTATGTTACATAAAATTAATTTAATAATTACCTGTCCCACCTTTTTGTATTTTATACAACTTTTAAATGCAAATAAAGAAAATATATAGTATTTTTATTACTCATAATAATATCAAAATAACCTTTCAAACCATTAACATAAATAAATAATATATACATATAGATTGTTTTTTAAACTTGAGTACAGATTATAATTTTTTTTTACTTCTTATGGAAAAGGTTGCTTTGACATAAGAAGAGTTTTGGATGAAACTAAATATCAGAAACAAACTCTGTGATTCCACTGTATATTATCAAAGTAACTTCAAAGCATATTCTTTTGAGGGCCCCCTCCCCAATTGCGGGTTCCTAGGCCATGACCTAGTTTGTAAATCCATTTGAGTGTAGAATTAGGGTAGTTGCATTAGTATGTTACAAATATTGTATGTTAAGTAGCAATAAATATGCAATAAATGTTGTATGTTAAGTAACAATAAATATGCAATAAATAATATATGTTAAGTAGCAATAAATATGCCGTAAATATACAACAAATGTTGTGTATTAAGTTTATATTAAACCTTTAAAAAGTATTTATAATAAATTTTTTGAGAAAAAATTTAGTTAACTAAACATTTTAATAAAAATGAACACAATAAAAAGTAGAATTATATTAGTATTAGAAACATTATTGTGAAAAATATTTTATTAAACTAGATATCATTACTAAGGAGCACTCAGTTATCTATAATAAATAAAGTGATGTACACTATATAAAGAAACACTAATGAATAATAGAATGGGTGAATTTTAGTATGAAAATAAAAGTTACATATGCAAGAATAAGAAAGTAATTACCTAAGGAGCTTCTCATTAAGGAGTGAGTTTTCTTCAATAAATTTTTGCTGTTCCATTTTGATTTTTTCTTCATAAAATAATTTCTCCTCTGATAATTTTTTTTTCTCTTCAAGAAGAATTTTACTATTTTCTTCAAGCAAAATTATTTTTTCTTCTTTTTCTTCAAGAAGCAACCTATTATTTTCACTAATTGTAGACAGCTTTTTATCTTTTTCTTCGAGAAGCAATTGATTATTTTCACTGATGATGGAGAGTTTTTTATCCCTTTCTTCAAGAAGCGATTGATATTCTTTCTCAAGTGCACGCCATTCATTTTCTTTTTCAGAAAAAACCAATGCTTTTTCCTCAAACTTTACTTCATTAACTTTAAAATTTTCTTCTAATTTTTTATAAAACTTCTCCATTGCTTTAAGTTTTTCTTCTTCTCGCTTCATCAGTTCTTTTTTTTCATTGTCGTGATTTTGCTGCATCTTCTCCACCATATGGATGTACGTAGATTTTTTTTCTTCTACTTGTTTTAGAAGTAAGGATGTCTCTTCTCTCTTAGACACTGCAACTTCATAACTTTCCTCTAATAAACTTTTTAAACCTTTTCTTTTTTGCTTTTCTGCCAACAATTTCGCTTTTAAAAAATCAACCATTTCTTGAAGTTTCTCAACTTCTTTCTGTAACAAAAAAAAAAAAAAAAAAATTCTCAAAATCTCAACATATTTTCACGCTTATCATTTATTGTTAAATTTTAAAGTAAAACGTGAAATTCATGAAATTATAAAAATTGAAATTACTTTGTATTGAGTAACCAATTTTGCCTCTTCTTTTGCATTCAAAAGATTTTCTTCAAGATGATCTTTTTCTGATGTTAGTAATTCAATTTTTTGTTGATAATCTTTAAGTCTCATCAAAAGTGATTTAACCTTTAACATTTCTTTTTTTAATTTTAATGAGTTTACTTCGATGTCTTTTGACTCTTCTCTTTTAGAAATTTCAGCATTTTTTTGTCTGTTTTCTTCTAAAAGTTCGCTGGAATAATCTTCTAACTCAGAACACTTTCGACGTAAGCTAAATAGTTTTTAAAATCACCATTTTTAAACATTTTATTAAAACAATATAATGATAACAAATGTGTAAAAACTTGTAAGACTTGAACTTTTCTTATTTGTATATTACTGAAATAACTTTAGTAAATAAGAAACAAAACATTTTAACTTTTTGATTGTTTTTTTTTATGTTCTTGTATACATTTAATTTTTAAAATTTAATTTAGATATTATTGATAAGGTGGAAGCTTTTACTTCAATAACGACTTCAGTCAATTATTGCCAGGTATAAAGGACATGTATAAGAGCAATTACTTTTTTATTAAGGAACTATTTTTTGAACACAAAATAGAAAAAACCTCAACCCAAAATAGAATTTTCCAAAGTGGCTCAACTAAATGGTATACCTATATACCAGCAAAAAAGGAGAACTGTATGTATTTGTACAATGTTCTAAAAACTAAAGCTTTAATGCTTGGTGCAGTTAAACTAAAGAATTACCATGATTTATTGAGAGCATTGTTTGTAGCAGAGAGTCAAGAGAATGCATGACCCATAGGTTTAATTTTTGCCCTCGAATTTGAAATATTATTAATTATGTAACTGCAAACCTATTAAAAAATAAAGGATTATCTAAAGAAAATGGCAAAGTTGATAAAGATAGATTAATTGAATACAAACAAAGGAATTCAACAGATAGAGCAAAGCTATTAAGTTATACATCTAAAAAAAGTGAAATGTTTACTTGATAGCATAAAACTACATTCTTATATTGCTAAAGCACAGAGTACTAACTTATTTAACATATAAATAAATTAAAGCATAATGTACTAATCTAAGTTGTCATACAAGATGTTAAAACGACAATGCACACAACATCCTTTAGTTATTTATACAAAACGTGATCAGGGTGTGAAGAAAAGTCAAAGTTTTATATCTGATGACTTAGCATGTTGAAAGTTGGATTTATCTTTTGTATAATGAAACTGTCAAACTTGTACAAGAAATGCTTCCAAACACTAAAAAAAATATTTATTTTTTGTGTTAAAAAACATTTAAGTAAAGGCCAGTTTAAAAATTGGAAGTATTTTTAAAACTATTTTACTAAATTGCATCCCTCTAAAGATAAAGGGATGCAAATGGAAATGGAATTTCTCTGTGACATCACATGGAAAGCTAACATCTGATGGTATTAGTGAAACCATGAAGACTTGTGTCCAGTGCTAGCCTTCATTAAAGACTTGAGTCCAGTGCTAGCCTTCAACAACCAATCAACATACAAATTCTTTTATAAGCAATTTACAAATAAAGCCATGTGGTTAACCGAACCGTTCTTTTGGTGAAAACTAAATAAAAAAAAACGAATAGAACCGAACCGATCTAATTATTTAAAATAAAATAAAACCGAACCGTAACCGAAAAAAATTTAAAAAATTACATAAAATTAAATATAATCAAAAATTATTAAATAATATATAATTATAAAATTATATTAAATAATAAGTCTTGTAAGATGTAAGCATAGTAGGGAATCCAATACCCGTCAAAAAATCTATACCGGTATTTCAATATTATAAAAACATAATACCGGAATACCGGTATTAAAACCGGTATTAAATATTATAAATTTACGAATCACAAAAACTTGAAAAGAATGCAAACTTATTGATCTATATGGTAGAACCTTTATCTTTTATTCTATGAAAATAAGCTCTTAAAAAACAAAGAGCATTCAGAGTTTTGTCATCCATTCTGCACCGAAACTTGTTTAAAATAATACCGGTAGCAGAAAATGCTTTTTCGGATTCAAGGCTAGTTGATCAAATCATTAAAAGAAGATCATAAACCTGTTGGAGATATTTTCCTCGCACACCTTCATCTTCAAAGAGACTAATTTCTTTTTTTAAACACTCGATTATATCACCAGCGCATTCTGGTTGTTTCCCAACAACCTTATAGTTTATTTGTTTACAAATGGCCTTATACATCCCTTTTTTCATTGATTTCACAGAATTTTTTCCTTCGTCAATCTCAACTTTGCTAACCTCAAAGTGAAGAATTTCCCGGGCTTGTTCTTCAACAGAAGTGCTTTGATTTCAAAGTCCCTTCTGATTTACAATGCCCAAAAGTGAATTGAGATTGCTCGCTTTTGATGCACGTCGAAAGTTAAAACTTAAAAAATTTGAGTTTCTAATACCATCTTCTAGACCTTTATGCAGATAAAAATTAAATCGGACAACGCCGTTCTTGTTGCAATAATACGCTGTTTTAAAGCACTCAGAAATTTAATGCTCAATGATGACTTAATTTCACTTAGCCTGTCAAACATAAATGTCAATGCTGCATCCGCATAAATTAAGCCATTGAGTCACTTTGTTGCACCAATGCAACAAAGTGACTCAATGGCTTTTACTGGCAAAAGTGCTGAGATAGCTAAAATAGTGAGTAGCTAAAACTGTTTCAAAATCAGTTTCTGTAAAGTTTATATTAAGTTTTAAATCTATATCTGATTTTTGAATGCAAGACTTTAATTTGTAAAATCGTTCGAGCATTACTAATAAGCTATTCCATCTAGTTTTGGAATCTGAAATTAAGAAGTATTCTTCGAAAAATTTGAGCTTTACATAATTCTGTAGTACCTCATTTTTTAACGGTGAACGTTTAAATATTTGCACAGTTTTCCTTACTATTTGTATAAGGGGACCAATTTGACTATGTGTTATTTCTGTATCTTGTTCTTGTATATCGTAATCCATAAGTGAACCTTCTTCGTATGTATTTGAAATATTTTCAAAGACACCATAGTTTTTGTACTCTTCGGCATCTGAATATGAGTTGAAGTTTATTGATTCATTCGAGCAAATGGTTCTTTCTTTTTTATATAAAACATCTACAACTGCAAGTTAAATTGCATGGGCCAAACACAACTGCTGAGCAGCCGGTACTAATTTGCCTACTTTTTGCATAACTGCTGCACCATCATTTGTTAAACAAACAATATTCTTTTCTAATGACAAACCACACTGATTCAATTTTTTAATTAAAAGACACATTTTTCTGCAGGTAAACTTCCATTGATTCGGAGAAGTCCTAAATTCCAAAACTTTGACTCCGAGTGAAGATTCACGTTTATGTACCGCCAGTTCCTTAAGGAAGTGCACTTATCAAAAGTAATACTAAAACCTTTTCCATTCAATTTAAATTCTGATATTTCTTTAAATACTAACTGCCCAATAGTTTTGCTATAATTAGTGACAATTTTTTGTATAGTCGTGGCGGATTTTGGAAGTTAATCACTTAAATTTAATGCTTTTAATGATTTTCGAAGATCATCGGATGTTATGAAAATTCTGAATGGAAGCCCATCAAGTGCTGTCATTCTTAACAAGATTGCTGCCAGCGAGTCTTCTGTAGTTTTTTTAAAATATTTAGTAATTTTTGGAGGAGGCAATTCAGATATTGAACTAGATTCACCAAGAGGTTCAATAGCATCTCGTTCTCGTAGTATTTGCTTTGTTTTAAAATGTATATGAAGGCCGCTTGTTGAGCCACCTGCTGTTTTTATAATTTTTGCTCACTTCTTACACTTTGCACTTTTCATCTTTTCATCACATGCCCTTTTTCATCTTTGAGAAAAAAAAACCAAACAGAATATTTATCTCCGCCTTTTAAATTTCACTAAACTTTTAAATTTCACTCTCCATTGGCTAAATAAATTTTTAAATTTCACTCTCCATTGGCTAAATTAGAATACAATCTCAATTTGTAAATATGTGTTACATATTTTATCCTCACAATGTTTATATGAGTCACATAATGTGATTGATATAAACATTAAAGAAAATGAATTAAAATATTTAAATTTAAACTTGAAAATGGTAATTTTTAAAATTACCAAAGTTGTTCTTCGTAATTATTTTTAAAAAGTATCAAAGAAATAGGTATATAAAGATTTTGTAATTTGTATAAATGTGAACTCGTTTTTTACTTTTAGATCCTGGCCGTATAACTAAAAATGTAAAATCAAGATCTCAAAAACTAAAGAATGTTTAACACATTGCTTTAAAGTATAAGCACTTATAATTGTTTCAAAAAAGAATAAAAACAACAACCCGTAATTATAAACCTCCCAGGAATTTGAATGATTTTAAAAATGAGTTAAGTAATAATGCAGTTTCATCAAAGAGTTGTCTATGAATCAGAGTTTGACAACTTTATTTTAATATACTAGGTTTTTATTCAAAAAAAGAGTTTAAACACATGATAGAATAAAAAATATATTAAAAATAAGCAACAAATGTTTACGAATTTTCGTATATTTATAATCTGAAATATGACAATGCTATATGCTCAAAAATAGTTGCATTTTAATATCTACTTCATGTACTTTTCTAATTTAAAAAAGTACATGAAGTATACAAATATTGCTAAAAATAATAAAAAAAACAACAACAACCATTCAAATACAGAAATACCGGTATTTAAGCCTTTTAATACCGGTATTCGAAACTAGACAAAATTGACCAAAATCCTGGTTTTCGGTATCCCGGTATACCGGTATTGGATTCCCTAAAGTATAGTATAATCTTTTTCCAAAAAGCTGCATTTTTTATTTTATTTAAAATTCTAATATTGTTTATATTTACCTTATAATATTGTTATTTTGAAAACCTTGTTTTCTAAACTGTTTTCATTGTATAAATAAAACTGATATAATCAAAAAAATTTGTTGTTTAAATATCATTAATGCCTTTAGGAGCTTGCAAGACTTAGAATAATTTAATATTTGCATTGTAGCTAATAATGTTTTTAAAGATAACTCAAATACTTTTTAAGGGTTTTGAAAAATCCTCAAATAAATTCTTAAGTTAAAATGTTGTTATCTGATATTATACTTTTTCAAAATGAGATTTTTATTTATGTTTATTTATTTATGTTTATTATACGGTTTGGTTGTCTCACTAATCATTTTTATTTTATTCACATTAAAGATGCTGAAAGAAAGTGATATTTGGAAATTCT